ACGTTACGTACGGTACGGTACGTACGTTACGGTTACGTTACGTACGTACGTACGGTACGGTACGTACGTACGTAGGTAGGTAGTACGTAGTAGTAACTACTACTACTATATATATATATATATATATATATATATATATATATATATATATAAGTGAGTCTGCCTCAAAAATTTCACTAGAAGAGGTCGTTTTGATTCCAAGGTCGTGTTAGAATGCCAAGCGATTGCCTCGACCAATGGGCTAAGCTCAATTCCAGGCCCTAGAGACCATAGGGACCATAGGCCAACTGCTGTCAAACATTCAAGCAACAACTTTGTTTCATGAACCCTTTGTTCAACCTCGTGGTGCTTTAACCCTGTGCCTCAAGTGTCTATTTCCTTGATGCCCATTTCGCACTATGCGCATGCGACATGAGCGATAGAGAGGGGCAACTGTAGACACCTTGATCGCAATTGAGGGAACTGTAGAAAATTGAATAATCTTGGAGCAACCACCATAAGCCCAGAATCAGTACCCAAGCACCTAAATTGTGCCCTGTTTAGTCCACCACAAAGACTCGACTTTGAACTCAGAACTCTGGAAGACCCCTAATAAGCTATGAATGGCCCCAAGACAAGAGGGGATCTAGAACAAATCGTTTGTAATGAAAGCAAAACCAGTCTATGATCAATGACCCCACCAGCAGTGCCAATTCCATGGGTGGCCTCAACACAACTTCGGGAACATTAGCATCAACGACATGGCCAATAATGTTTAGAGGGGTAGCGGCTCATCATCATTATCTTCGACACTGAGGACATAGGTACTAACGTTGGTATCATTAGCATCGGTCACTGATTGCTTCAAATTACCGTGAATTGCCTAATATCGGAATTATCAAACTGTGGCAAAAAAACAACGATCATTACATGGGCGATGGGGTTACCATTATTGGATGCTGGGATAGACAATGTTGATTTCTGATTAGCTCAAATTGCCACCAATCGCCTGACATTGGAATACTCGAACAGAAGTGAAAGCATGAATGACGGGGGCATCATCATTGAACTTGGACATCATCAACAACTATTCCTCATTGTCCAAAACTGCCATCCATTATCAGACCTCAGAATGAC